TTGGGAATGGGATTGATACCATCAGGAAGGTATTCTGCTCTTGGAAGGGATTGGGAATGGGATTGATACCCAGATTTGTTTGTTTCACTCCCTTCTTGCAGTGTGGGACACTCTCTGAGGTTTAGGCTTTGCCTGCCCCTGGGTTTTGGAGACTTTTAGCATGGGGGATAATGTGAAGCACATAAATCTCCATGCAGAATGGAAAAAGGCTGAAAAAGGAAGTTTCCCCCCTGTTTGGGATGGGTGTTTGAGTCTCCTGGATAGGAGCAGGTGGGTGTTTTAGGGAGTTTGTTGTTTTGTGGCTCAGAGAGCAGCCAGAGGCTGGAGTTATTGACACACAGGTTGAATCTGTGCTGTGAAACTGAAACAAACTGCTGCTGCACTGTGAGAACAGCCACTGGTTTTATTCCATCCTCTTCCATCACAGCCCCCTTGGGCTGAGTAATTTGGATTTCAGAACCAGCTGAGGCCAGCAGTGACCCTGCTTTCTTCAGGGTTATTTTCACGGGGCTGATTTCAGACTTATTGTAGCCCAGTTCTTGTTCTTGATGTGACAATTCCGGGGCACTTCCTGCAGCAGCCACCAGAGGGCTTTGGGATAAAATTCCATTTTCCATCCCCAGCTCCCCAAATTGCTGCGGTGCTGCCTCGCCCTCTGGCGGCCTCTGCTCCTGCACAGGAGGCAAGGCTGGTGTTCCCGATTTCCCATGGAAATGAATCCCTTATTCCAGATTTCCCATGAACATTAATCCCTCATTCCCCATTTCCCCATGGAAATGAATCCCTTATTCCCGATTTCCCATGGAAATTAATCCCTCATTCCCCATTTCCCCATGGAAATTAATCCCTCATTCCCCATTTCCCCATGGAAATGAATCCATCCCCAGCATCCCAGGGTGTATGCTCCTTTCATAGCTCACTGTTACAGAGTTAACCAGAATTCTTCTGCAAGGAAGAAAAAGAGGACATACTGTTTTACTGTGGATTTATAGGTGAAATGCCACCTTAAATACAAATTTAATCCAAGACACCATTCCCTAACAGCTCCTGTCAAAAATGGTACGTTTAATGACAGAGCCTCTTCAGAGAGGCTTAATGACTCTGTTGTCATAACAGGGTCATTCCCTGGCAGCATTTGGATTAGGGAAGCTGCTGTAAAACTGCCCAAATAGATGATATTGGGGTATTGGTATTCTTATTATATATTGATATACAAATTCATTATATAGCAGTATATAATATTGATATCTATAATCTATATATTATTATATATCTATATATTATATATATATTGATATTATATGTTTACTTTATATATAAACATATATTTTTAATTATATATTGGTATTTTTGAAGCTTAGGCACTGAGGTGCAGGAATCCTGGTGTGCATTTTGTGTTAGCAGGGCGCACACTTGCAGCCTTGTGCTGCAGCTGGCAGAGCTTGCTTCAGGATATTTATTCCCATAGCACTGAAATAAATATATAAATAGTAAGAAATAAATGTATGGCAGCAAGGAGAGGTACCACACATTGTGGAATTATCATTATTCCTTGAGTTACACCAGCCCTGACAAGTGGAAGCAGCAGTCATGGGAAATTGTTGCCAAGTGCTGGGCTGGTGCTGAAGCTTTCCATGATTTTCCAGACCTCTTAGCCCCAGCACTTTTGCTCCAGTGATAGAAAACTTGCTTCTATTGTGCTGGTTGTGGCCACAAGTGGAGTTGTTTGATGGGCATTGGTCACCCTGTCCCAGGTGTGAGGGGCTCCTGTGAGCTCCCTCTGTGCTGGGGCACACATTGGGGTTTGACCCCTTTTCCTGCTGCTTTTTTGGGTTTCCCCTTCTCATTCCTGCGTGTCCCACAAAGGCAGCGAATGGCAGTGATCAGAGGAAGGAAAGCAGCACACTGACTCTCCTGGCAGAGCTAAATGAGGATGCCCAGAGCAGAAAGCAGGTGATGGAATGATGCTGACAGAAGTGGGCCGGGAGCTGGGAGCTTTTCAGGGGCAGGAACGTGCAGCTTTATGGCTCTGGCTGCATTTAACAAGCAGCTGATCAACCTGCTCAGGGCCCTGCTGGCCAGAGACATCAGGAACAGGCTGGGCACACGTGCTGTGTGTCTGCTCCTGTGGGAGATCCCTGTCTGCTGGCTGAAAGGGCAGGGAATGGGTTAAATGCAGGAAAAGGAAAAGGGGTGGCTTAAAAGTAAACTGAACAAATATTATTGCCTTGGTTTGGGCTGGGAAACAGCTGCAAGGTGCATTTCACACCGTGAGAGAAGGGAAATTAATTGCAGTGGAAAAACACAGTCTGGCCCGTGCAAATTAAGGCACATAGCACTTATTTTCTCTGGTTTTTTAAATGGACACCTTGAAAATGCTTTTTCACACATTAATAGGGAGAGCAGAAAGCTGATAGTGAGATTTGATAAAATCTGGGCAAGGCTCAGAAAACTGAACTTGTTATAGAGAAAACACTTGTTCAAATAGATTCTGTGTTGCCAAACAACCCCTCCAGGCACACCTTTTTCCAAGGTAAGCCCTCCCTTTTCAGAAGAGGGGCCTGAGCTCTGAGCTACCTTTTATGTTCTTTCCATTTCATCAATGCTCAACTTGCCTCCATCCCAGCGAGCAGAATATCTTCTGAGGTTATTTCCAGATTTCTGAACTCTGGGTTTTCCAGATTATCTCTGGACATAACAAAGTGGGAAATCTTGCACAGTTGTGCAATTTATTTTTAATAATGGGGTCTAAAAACTTGCTTGAACGGCAGCTGAATGTTGGGTTCCTGAGTCGTGGAAAGGTCTAAAGCTGGGTTTGTTTCCTCAGCAGGTGAGTGTGTCAGGTCAGCAATGCAGGAATCACCGTGTGCCACGTGAGCCAGGGCAGGCTGGCCGGCACCAAGGGCTGCACTCTCCCAGTTCCCACGTGAAACCAGTGGGATGGAAAGCTCCTTGGCACTGCTCAGCAGCCAGGCAGTGCAGGCTGGATGTCAGGATTTCAATGTGACATTTTAGCCTTATCTCTGAATCTGTGCTTGCCAGGGAAATGAGTGATGTCTGGTTGTGACCTGTTTGTTTGTACACCTGTGCTGCGCGCCCTCCTCGCAGGTCGCCCCTGGGTGTTGGTGTTCCATGGGAGCTCCACGGCTGCTGCAGGGTTTCCTGGGGGTTTTGGGGAGCTCTGGCCGTGCTCTCACCCCTGTGTTGCTCTGGCAGGGCACTCCCTGTGCAGTGACCCCGACAGCTCAGCCGAGGTGGCCCCGGAGGAGGCGGAGGCGCAGGACCTGGAATCATCGGACGAGGCGGAGAAGATGAGCAAGGTGAGGAGCCTCAATTTCCTCCTGTGCTGGGAAAACGCTGCTTTCACTGTGGAGCTGTCTGTGGATGATCCCAGATGGGATCTGTGAAGGTGTTTTGGATGATCCTGGATGGAACAAACCACAGCTTGGTGGTGGCACATCACCCACTGCCTCTTCAGCAAGATCCGTGCCCTTTTTCCAGGGTGGGCTCACATCTCCAGTACTGTGATAATGCTCCCCACAGTTTGTAAATGGGCTGGTTTGTCACCTCCATCCCCACAGCAGCTCCACTAAACCACGTGGATTATTAGGATTTCATATTCTTTCTTGCTTGCTAGGCTTAGGACAAAGGTAAATTAAACTGTATTTCCTTACAGCAGTAGCATCGCTCTCATGCAGGTGTCTAGCTGCAAACCAATCACAGCCAATCCACCTCAAACCGAAGGAAAACTCTGCAGGTACAGTTAAGAGCTTGTGCAAATGGGTTGCTAATTGCCATCGATTCTCCGCAGGGGTTGGTGGTGACAGTAGGTGACGATGATCGGTGGCTTCTGAGGCACAATCCAGCAGATGATGGTGATTGCTGTGAGGTATTTGTGATATAGGTGATGCTGAGGGCTTGCAGCTGTTCTCCTCCACATTAATGGTGTAATGAGAATTAATCTCAGGCTCTGGTGTTTCCCCTCGGTTTTTCTGTCCCGTTGAACCGAGCTGCGTTGCAGTGAGCTCTGGGTTGGTCCCTTGCAGGGAAAGGAAGGAAAAGACCTTGGCCCCTTGTTTCCTGAGCCCTTGTGGCACCCCAGCCCGGACTCGTGTCCTTGGTATCCACACAGTGCAAGGAAAATGTGAACTGCTCACAGGGAACGGGAATACACTTTGTTTCTAGCGTTTATTGAGGAACAGCTTGTGAGTACACATAATTTCTTCTTCAGTCAGGGGCCATCTTGTTGATACTTTGGGATTTTTAACTGTGAATTTGTTATTTGGTAAGTGGAGATGTTTGTTGATAGTTTAGGATTTTTAACTAAATTTCTTCTCCTGTAAGTGGAAGTCTTTGTTTGAAACTTTGGGATTTTTAACTGTAATTTTCTTCTTTAGCAAGTGGAAGTGTTTGTTGATAGTTAGGGATTTTGAACTGTAAATTTCTTCTCCAATAAGAGGACGTGTTTCTTGATAGTTTGGGATTTTAACTGTAAATTCCTTTTTCATTAAGTGGAGATGTCTTTTGATACTTTATGATTTTTAACTGTGAATTTCTTCTTTAGTAAGTGGAGATGTTTATTAACTTTATATATGTTTATATACTTTGGGATTTTTAACTGTACATTTCTTCTCCAGGAAGTGGAGGTCTTTTGTTTGAAACTTGAGAATTTTTAACTGTAAATTTCTTATCCAATAAGTGGAGATGTTTGTTAATAGTTTGGGATTTTTACCTGTAAATTTCTTCTTCTGTCAGTGGAAGTGTTTGTTGATAGTTTGGAGTTTTAACTGTAAACTTATTCTTTAGTTAGTGGAAGTGTTTGTTGATAGTTTTTGAATTTTAGCTGTAAATTTCTTCTCCAGTAAGTGCAAGTCTTTGTTGATAGTTTGGGATTTGTAACTGTAAATTTCTTGTTTAGTAAGTGGCGATGTTTGTTGATAGTTTGAGATTTTTACCTGTAAGTTTTTTCTCCAGTAAGTGGAAGGGTTTGTTGATACTTTGGGATTTTTTAACTGTGAATTTCTTCTCCAATAAGTGGAGGTGTTTGTTGATACTTTATGATTTTTAACTGTAAATTTCTTCTCCAGTTAGTGGAGGTCTTGGTTGAAACTTTCGGATTTTTAACTGTATGTTTCTTCTCCATTAAATGGAGCTGTTTTGTATGATTTTTAACTATAAATTTCTTCTCCAGTAAGTGGAAGTCTTTGTTGATAGTTTAAGATTTTTAACTGTAAATTACTTCTTTATTAATTGGAGGTGTTTGGCATTAGTTTGTGATTTTTACCTGTGAATTTCTTCTCCAGTAAGTGGAGATGTTTCTTGATACTTTGGGATTTTTAACTGTAAATGCCTTTTACGTTAAGTGGAAGTGTTTGCTCATAGTTTAGGATTTTTACCTGTAAATTTCTTCTTTAGTTAAGTGGAACTGTTTGATGATAGTTTGTGATTTTTAACCATGAATTTTTTCTCCAGTAAGTGGAAGTGTTTGTTGATAGTTTGGGATTTTTAACTGTGAATTTCTTCTGTGGTAAGGGGATATGTTTGTTGATACCTTGAGATTTTTAACTGTAAATTTCTTATCCAATAAATGGAAATGTTTGTTGATAGTCTGGAATTTTTAACTGTAAATTTCTTCTTCAGTAAGTGGAGGTGTTTGCTGGTAGTTTGGAATTTTACCTGTTAACTTCTTCTTTAGTAAGTGGAGGTGTTTGTTGGTACTTTGTGATTTTTAGCTGTAAATTTATTCTCCAACAAGTTGAAGCATTTGTTGATACTTTGTGATTTTTAACTGTTAATTTCTTCTCCAGTAAGTGGAGATATTTGTGGGTAGTTTGTGATTTTTAACTGTACATTTCTTTAGTAAGTGGAAGCATTTGTTGATAGTTTGAGATTTCTAATTGTAAATTTCTTTTTTAGTCAGTGGAACTGTTTATTGATACTTTAGAATTTTTAACTGTAAATTCCTTTTCCAGTAAGTGGAAGCATTTGTTGATAGTCTGGGATTTTTAACTGTAAATTACTTCTCCATGAAGTGGAGATGTTTGTTGATAGTTTGTGATTTTTAACTGTCAATTTCTTCTCCAGTAATTGGCGATGTTTGTTAATAATTTAGGATTTTGAACTGTAAATTTCTTCTTTAGTAAGAGGAAGTGTTTGTTGATAGTTTGTGATTTTTAGCTGCGAATTTCTGTATTGAGTGGAGGTGTTTGTTGGTGTTTGGGGCTCTCTGCCTGTAAATCCGTGGGATTCTGCCGTGCTGTGAGCAGAGCAGCCAGCACAGCTCCTGGCTGCTGGGGTCCCTGCTCTCCATGGGCGTTCCTGGGGTGCTCAGAGCTGGAATTGCCTGCACAAGGCACAGGGATTACCCGATTAGCCCTGCAGCTCGGCAGATGGAGTCAAACTGAGAAATAAATGGGTGTTAGCAGCGTTAATGCTGAGTGTTCCCTCCTGCAGGAGGGACTCCCAGCTCTGAGGAGCCCTGCTTTCCAACAGGAGGAGCTCCTGCCTGTCTGGCTGTGAAATGTTGGCATCACGGAGTGTTTCCTGTGGGATACAGAAATATGGCTCTGTATTTGTGGGGGGTGAAGGGGATTTTTTTTTTCTTCCGTTTCAGACTGCTTGGAATGTTCCCCCACAAATGGAGGACACAAGGACCTATGGAATATGTCTAACACCCTGAATCTGGCAATCTCAGGGATGCTGCTGTCCCTGCTCTGTACTCAGTGCCTTCCTTGCTGACTGTGGAAACCCCCAAATTATCCTCCTCTGCTTATAGAAAATCCCAGTGTTTGGTAGTGGGGAAGAAAAAAAGCTCAGCTGAGGGTTTTCCTAATCCCTTGGCTTTTCTGTGTGCTTGGGAAGCTGATGTGCATGGGAAGGAGGATTCCTGCAGTGTGTGCTTTCCCATGAGGAGTCACAGACAGGAGGAGGAAAACAAAGGTGTTTTCCTGTCCCTGCACTCCCACACCTTTCCATGCTCCTGGGATTATGGCACAGCAGATTAAGGTGGTGTCCTCAAGGCTGTTTCACAGGGGTTAGTTATTTCTGTCCATGGGGAAGGCTCTGCCCTCGTGCCACCTTCCCCTTTATCCCATCCTGCTCCCAGCCCTGCATGGTGGAGCTCAGGAGAGACTTTGCTTATTTTCCTGCCCTTTTTGGGTACAGCAGGGCAGGAGCACTCCCATCCATTGCCTGCTGGTCAGCAGGGGGATGTTCCCATTTTAGCAGCATCAGAGCTCCCCAGGTAACCACAGAGGCAGCATTAGGAGCTGGGACCCCAGAGCAGTCCTGCAGGGCTCCATCCCTGCCCGGGGAGCACTGCAGACAGGGACAGCTTCCCCAGGAGGCTCCCTGGCTCTCCAGGCAGCACAGAGATCCCGGGGCACATGAATGATTGATGGGAAGGGAAGGGAAGGGAAGAGGAGAGCAGCGAGGTGCTGCAGCCGCCTCCCGCTGCTCCCGGAGCACGGGCTCTGTGGGAAGGTAAGTGGGGGAAATCCCACCAAGAGCTGCCCTTGGGCCCTTCACCTTTGCCAGGCAGGTGGCAGGGGGCTGTGTGGCACAGGAGGCACTGCAATGTGCCCTTCCTCCTCCTCCTCCTCCTCCTCCTGGTGCCCTGTCCCTTCCCCCAGCCCAGCATGTGTGCACGTGGGTGTGTGTTTCCTTAGGAGTGCTGCTTTGCTTCTTAATCTGCAAAAGCCTCCGAGCTGTGGTGGTGCTGAAGGATTTGGGGGTGCAGCGGGAGCCCTGAGGACTCCTCCCTTTTCTGAGAAGCTTGTCTTCACTATATCCCAAAGGCCTGACAATGCAGAGCTTTCTTCTGCATTGCTGCTATCCAAGTAGTGATTCCATTATATGGAATAAGGGAAGCTGAGGTGTCTGTTCTGGTAAAATACTAGAAACCCTTCTCCAGGGTGGGCTGAGGTGTCAGTGGTGTGGGATGGCTGCTGCTCTCTGGCTCTCTCCATATCTAATTTCACCTCTTATCTCTTGGGGTGACATCCATGTGAAGGGTGGCGAGCAGGGCGCTTTCCAGGTGCAGCTGGCCCTGCCCTGAGCTTTTCTACAACTTGGTTTTGCTTTGGGGTGGACTTCTGCCTTTCCTTTCTGTCCCCATTTCATGTGGGGGCCAAGGGGAGGGAGAAGAGTGGGGGAAAGGAAAGCCTGCCCTCTGCCAACTTTTCAGGCTTGTTTTCATCCAGCACCAAATTTCAGGCTGTTTATGAAACGGGGCCGTGCCCCTCTGCCAGCCTCTGTTCCACAGAGCATCAGAAGCATTTCACACCTGTAATTCCTTCAGTGGTTACTTGCCCCTTTGGTAACCTGATTATTTTCAATATTGGGGTTCCAAGAGGCACCCAGAAAATTGAATGTATGAGTTGCTGATGCTGCAGGTTGCCAGTACTGTATCTCAAAATCAGTCTTTGTGCATTTTCTTTTCCTGTTGTGGCCCTTTGAATTTAACTGGGGCTGTGCTGTAAGGGGTGTCAGCAGTTCAAATTGCTGCAGGACCCTGGTTTCTCCCGTTTCTGATTGCAGCCTGTGCCTGTGGCAGTCAGGGCCAATTACCTGGCAGCAGTGCTCCGTGGCTCTGTGTGTGCACGCCCGTGCCTCTTGGAGGGATTTTTTTTCCCAAGAAAAGTAGGTCGCTGCTCTCTGCAGCATTACTCGAGACCAGCGTAAGTCTCCAAACCTTGAGCGTGTTGCAGTAGCCGTGAAAGGATTAGGAGGGGGATTTGCGGGGTCGCTTTCCCAGCGGCAGAACCGGCTCTTTGAAGTTCCTTTCATTCGGTGTTTGCGAGCCGTGCCGAGCCACAGGCAGCGCTATTCCCGCTGTTCCCGACAGGCATCCCCGGCTGCCCGGGCTCCGGAGCTGCCTGCCCAGCAGCGCCCGGCTCTGGCCTCGCACGGCTCGGCACGGTGAGCGGATGGCACGGGAGGGGAGCTGGGGAGGTGGCACCAGCCCGGGTGCCAGGGGGGAGGTGGGCGCTGCCCTGCCCCGCTCACACGCGGAGGGAGCATCTCGGGAGGACCAGGAGCAGCACGAGCAGCCCGGGAGGAGCAGGAGCATCTCGGGGTGTCGGGGAGGAGCAGGAGCATCTCGGGGTCTCTGGGTGGAGCAGGAGTGGGAGCATCTCAGGGTGCCTGGGAGGAGCGGGAGCATCTCGGGGTATCTGGGAGGAGCGGGACTATCTCGGAGAGCCTGGGTGGAGCGGGAGCCGCCGGGGATGCGCAGCCCCGGGAGGAGCGCGGTGCCCGCTCGGTGACGGCCCCGGGAGGAGCGCGGTGCCCGCTCGGTGCCAGCCCCGCTGCGCTGCCCTGCGGCGATGTCGGCGCTGCGGAGGGGGAGCCGCAGGGTGCGGAGCGAGAGCGCCGGCAGGGACGGGGACTCCCTGCTGCGGATGCTGTACCTGGTGAGCGGCTCCCGGGGGATGGATGGGCTCGGGAGCGGCGCTCGGGGGTTGGCGTGCGGTTCCCTGTGCCCTGCAGAGGCGCTGGCAGCGCTGCTGGAAGGATGCGGCTTGCTGGGCTTTGTCTGGGCGGGCACTGCTGCTCCGAGTGCATTGCCTGGTGCCCGGGCACTGGATGTGTGTGCGTGGCAAACTCAGCAGGAAATGGCTTTCAGCACTGCCAAAGCAGCCCCATGGCTGTGATGTCCTCGATCCTCCTCCATGGGAAGGGTGTGAGCCCGGCTCCTCTGCCGAGCCCCTTCCCGATGAGGGGTTCATGACTTCCCCGCTGTGCAGCCCTCGGACTCATTTTCAGCTTTTGAAGGGATTGCCTGCGGGATTGTGCCTCAAGTGTGATGCCGTAATTCCCCGTGAGAAATCCTGGTTTAGAGCTGTCATTGTCACTGCTGGCAGAGCTGCTGCAGGGAGATAAAAGGATCTGTATCTCTTCCAGACCTTCCCTACTTAGACACTTTCTGTGGGAAAACAGGGACAGAGGGGTTTTTGTGAAATCTGCTTGAGGGTTTTCACCAAAATAGCTGTGCCCTGTAGCCCCCATGTGCAGTGTGTGCCTGCTTTGTGTCTGCAGATGGATTTTTTAAAAGGAATACCAGGTAGACAGGATTGTGCTCAGGGATGAAGCACAGCAGTTGTTGCAGGTGGAGTCAAGCATTTCAGTTCTAGGAGAGAAACAACAGTATTTTTATTGATATGGGCTGATAAGGTAACCAAGTTTGTTTGTCAATATGATGGTGGTTTAACAAGGCTTGGAGGCAAGGCTCTCTTGGTTATTTACTGCAGCCTCCCATTGAGGGATGAGGGCCGGAAAGGACCCTCTGAGGTGCTGAATTCAGAGGGGTTTAGGTGCAGCTGGATCTGCTCTAGTGCCAGACTTGGTCAGTGGTTTGTGTCTCAAGGATTGTGTGTGCACAGCCAATGCTGTCCATCCCTTGGGTAAGAACACAAAGTTCAGCATGTCCTGATCACTCCCCAGGGCTCTGTGGTGGGCAGGAGCCCCCAGCCTTGAGCAGACACCTCAGAGACCTTCCCTCTCAGGTGTGCTCACACAATACAGCAGTTTGATCAGTGGACAGGCACAGGAACAGGTTTGTGTCCGTGACTCCGTCCTGGCCGTGTGGGTGTGTGGGCAGCTCCCCAGAGATGTGGGGCAGGGCAGTGCTGCAGCCCTCGGGCGCTTTATGGAGCGTGCACAAGTGCAGATAAGGCTTTGGGAAGTGCTCCACACTTCCTTCCTGCCGTGTGGGTGTCGCTGCTCCTGCTGGGGCACAGCACATGCCTCTGGGAGTTATTTCAGCCTCAGTGCTGAGCTGGTGTTTCACACCCCGAGCGCGTTTTCGCTCTCTTTTTCTGGGTGACCCATCTTCCCCTGCAGGAGCTGCACAGGATGGGGGATCTGCAGAGTGGCAGGCAGGAACTGCTTTAACGCTTGGTTTATTTGCGGGTTTGGTTCCAGATTTTGCTTTATGCAGTAGAACTGGATTTATTTGCGCATTTAGATATTAAAGCAAAACACCACTGGACACGTCTGCCTCAAGCAGTGCTAGCAAAGCCAAGCATTGCTGAGCAAAACCCTGCCTGTGCTGGGGCTCTGCAGGCTCAGGTTGTCACATTTGAGCTGTCAGTTCTCTCCCAGCAGAGCAGGGCGCTTGGGAAGGTGTTTTAACTGTGCTGGAGCCAGGTTTCACCCACTGCCCTTGCTGCATTTGGGGCTGTTGGGATCAAGGTCACGCCTGCAGAAATCTGATCTAATCCAAAAGTTTGGGTGGGCTTTACACTTAAAAGCACATTAAGTATAGCTGGAACCTTGCTGAGAAACCACAGGAATTATTGAATAATTAAGATTAATAAATCTCAAATCTCAGTGACACATGCCAGGAGCAGAGTGAGTTGGAGATGGACTGGTCCAACTCACTGCTTCCTCCTGCCTTCAACCTGCGAGGTTTTTCCTTTGTTCACACCTGAGTTAAACCTCAGAAACTGAAGGTGAATATTTTCCCTGGAATGAAGTGTGTCCAAAAGGCATTTTTGTATAGACAGCCAGGTACAATGAGTTCCATGCTTACAAGAGTGTCCTGAAGAAAATGATCCTTTGTGCAATGAGCATCTTTGCTCATGTGCTGTGCAGTGGGAGCTCAGGGGAGCATTTGCAGCCTCAAGAGACCTCTGAGGGAAGGGTGTGGAAATCTTTCCTTGTCCTAGCATGGATTGTAGGTGCATGGAGAGGAAATATCTCTGAGAGCAGACTGCAGGGCTTAAAAACCATGGAGATCACAGCTACCAGTGGGTGGGAGTGAAGTGATGTCCCAGGGGCAGAGCTGTGTCTCCAAACTGCAAGGTGAGGACGTGCTTTATTCTCTCTCTCTTATTTTTTGGGTTAGATTTTTCTCCTCTGCTCCCTTCTCTGGTTGAGCAGGCTGATTTTGGATCAGTTGTTCCACAGAATTACAGAATTACCCATGTTGGAGGACACCTCTGAGACCATGGAGTCCAAGCTGAGCCCAATGCCCACCCTGTCACCCAGCCCAGAGCTCTGAGTGCCACCTCCAGGAATTCCTTGGACACCTCCAGGGATGGGCACCCCAAACCTCCCTGGGAACCCTTTCCATGGGGAAATTCCTGAAGTGGGGGGCTGTAGAGAAATTCCTGAGCCTGGACTGAGGTGCTCTGGCAGGATGGTCAGCTGTGGTCCCTGGAGCAGCTCTTTCCCTCCAGGTCTCTGGGAAGGATGGATCCAGCCCACGGTGCCTTGGCAATCCTGGAAGCCTGGAGCTGTCATCACTGACACCAGAGACTATTCCTGCTCCAAACTCTTCAGTGTAATGAAAGATGGGAGGAAATGATCTAACACGAGGGGGTGAAGTGAGGATAACTGGCTTTTTATATAGGCAGCTGATTAAATATTAAAGGAAGCAGGGAGAGGGAGCAGCTCTGGGAATTGGCACTTATGGGGAAGAAGTTCACATTTGCAGACACAGCCTGGGGACACAGCTGCTTGCCCAGAGAGCTTCTGCTTGGAGCCTGGAGGGGATTTAGCTGGGAGGCTCTGCTTCCCCATGGCCCAGCCTGAGTGGTTTGTGCCTCTGTGTCAGCTGAGCTGTTCCCAGCACTGCTGCAGCCCTGGCTGGGGAACTGCCAGGGGCTGGGCTGTGACTTTTGTTTGCACAGGCATTTTTGGTTCCCAATTCTTGGGCTTCTCTGTGAGTTTGTCAGTCATAAGTGCTGGATGAGCCTGTTGTAATTAAAATTCACGTGTGTGTTGAGACCAGGAATGGAGCTGAGCAGCACTTCAATTAATTTGAATTCTGCAACTCCTTTTTTTTTTTTTTTTTTTTTTCCCTTTATCCCAGTCACAGAGAGACAAAATAGACACTTGTGTCTGTTGAGAAGTCCCCAAGCTGCAACTGCTGACCTGCAAAACCCTCCTCAGCCCGTTTGTTCCTCTGGCTCTTAGTTGCAATATTACCACTGCTCTTTCCTCTCCCTTGTCTCCCAAGAGCACCGAGCAGGTGGCAGCTTTCTGCCGCAGCCTGCATGAGATGAACCCTTGTGAGTGCAGTGCTGCCCCCCAGGACTGCGGCGGGCCCCAGCTGAGCACCATGAGGCAGCTGACGGACGCAGACAAGCTCAGGAAGGTCATCTGCGAGCTGCTGGAGACCGAGCGCACCTACGTCAAGGTGAGACCTCAGCCCCAGAGCTCTCCTGCTTGCTGCCTCTGCTTCACCTCTGCAGCTCCTGCTGAGCTTGCACTCACTTCTGTGGGATAAATACATGTTATATATAATATACACAATGCCTGAAATATCGCTGAAACCACGGAGATGAGGCATTTCCGAATGGTTCGGCTCTCGGGCTTAGCTGGTGTGCAGTTACTGCACGCTGAGATCTGGTTCTGCAACTAGAAATGTGTGAATGTTTGCTTTTCCTGTCTTGAACTGTTCAAAATCCAGCTATTTCGTGCTGTGTGTAGAAAGGGAAAATCCTCAGATTAGGTAAACATAATTTCCCACCTCAGTAAATACCCAGAGGGACCAACATGGGAATCTTTCTGTGATTTTTTAGGATTTAAATTGTCTGATGGAGAGATACCTGAAGCCTCTACAGAAAGAAACCTTCCTCACACCAGATGAGGTATGTCAGCTCTTGTTTGTCCGAAATTAATTTCACTGAATTCCATTTCTCTCAAATAATGGATTGAGTGGAGCATCAAGGTGCTGCTCAGTGATGTCTGCAGCTTGTTTTTTCCAGGCATCACATTGTTTTACAATTGCACTGAGAATTGCTGCGGTTCTAGAAAACACAATTCAGCCTCAAAATGATATTTTCAGCATTCTGCTTTTTTTTTCTCCTTTTATTAGCTGGATGTTCTCTTTGGGAATCTGACTGAGATGGTAGCATTCCAGGTAGAGTTCTTGAAAACTCTGGAAGATGGAGTAAGGCTGGTTCCAGACCTGGAAAAGCTTGAAAAAGTTGAGCAATTTAAGGTAATAATTATTTACTTTTATATATTAAAACACATTATTTGCATTATCTCATTGTTTAAATGTTGAGGAAGCCTTTAACACTCTCCATCTATTTTTCTGACTGTTGCCACTGTTCATGTAAAAACCTGCATCTTCTTCCATTATTTTCAACTGCTGCTGGTGCTGCTGAAAAATGATTCTGCTGCAATTGTAGTTTATGCTACATTTAGCCATGTAGAGCACTAGCAACCATGTGCTTTTAGGTTCTATTCTTGCCCTTCTGCCAGATTTCTTGCCTTCAGCTGTCAGGAAATGCTAGAAATGGAAAGTTACATAAAATCTTTGCCCTGACAAGTCTCATGTTCAGAAGCCCTCTGGGGCTACAGATCAGAGCAATACATGGAATTTTGTACTTCCACTTCCAGTCCATGGTGGCAAACACTTCTGCCTTTCAGCAGGTGTGCATCTGCACAGGTAGAAATGGAAACTGCAGCTCTGTAAACTACACTCATGAACCCAGGGAGATGTGAAGACATTTCATTTGTGTCTGATGCAGTGGTACTGGAGGCCTGGCAAGGAGATGATAGATTGGTTTTCTTTTGGGGAATTCCACTCTGGCTCTCAGCACCACTCACCTGGGGAAAGGACAACATGAATAATAGTAGTAGTAATAATAATAAAATATATTATTATTAATAAGAATAAGAAAAATATTATTATTATTATTATTATTATTATTATTATTATTATTATTATTATCATCATCATCATCATCATCATCATCATCATCATCATCATTATAGTTTCTCTGGCCCCTGTGTGCTCTGAGCTGTAAGAGAGGAGTGCCAGTGAAGGGTCCTTCCAGAGAAAACTTCATCTCCTGAGTGCTGCTGTTTCCCACAAAGCTGCACCGAGCTCACTTTCAGTTCTGCCCCTGGGCCTGTCTGAGAGCAGCTGGCTGTGAAGGAGATGGGGATTCAGTGCTTTCAGTTCTGCAGTTTGCTTCCCCTGTCCCCCTGACTGTCCCCAGGCTGCCCACGAGTGCTCTCAGCCCCTCAGCAGGTGCTGGCTGGTTCCCAAGATGTTTTGGGATCGTGTTTGTCCCCAAACACCAGCTCTTTCCAGGCAGGTGAAGCCTTGGTGTGTTTGTGAGGGATGAGGGTTGCCTGCAGCTCCTCAGTGCCCTGATCCATTGCAGGGTGAGACACATCTGCCCTCTCTGTGGGCTCTGGCCATTGCTGAGGGCAGTGAGGTTTTTAGGGGCAGCTCTGCAGTTAATTCCCTGTGCAGCCAGGGCTGCCTCCAGGCTGATTACAGAGGCTGAATCCACACACCAGGGCTGGGCTGTTTCCTGGTGGGTGAATCATGGACTCACAGAACGGTTTCGGTGGAAGGAACCTGCAAGATCCCCCAGTTCCACCCTTCCACTGTCCCAGGTTAATCCAAGCCCACCCAGCCTGGCCTTGGACACTTGCAGGGATCCAGGGGCAGCCACAGCTGCTCTGGGGACTCTGTGCCAGGGCCTGCCCACCCAAACAGGGAACAATTCCTTCCTGATATCCCATCTAAACCTATTCTTCATTTAGTCTGAAGGCGTTCCCCCTTGTCCTGTCACTCCAGCCCCTTGTAAAGAGTCTCTCTCCATCTTCCCTGCTGGCTCCCTTCAGGCACTGGAAGGGCACACTGAAGTCACCCCAAAGCTTCTCTTTTCCAGGCTGAGCAATCCCAATTCTCTCAGCCTTTCCTCCCAGCAGAGCTGCTCCATCCCCCCTGCTCCATCATCCTGGTGCCACCCTGGGCTCTGTCCAGCAGTGATGTCTTGGTGTGCAAACACACTAAACCTGCATTCTGCTGTCCTCCAAAGGCTGGCTGGGGGCTTCAGATGACCTGGCTGAAGGCAAAGTAACTAAATGCCTTTTTACTAATGCTTTTTTTTTCCTTTGAATCCCAGAAAGTGTTGTTCTCCCTGGGTGGATCCTTCCTGTACTACGCTGACAGGTTCAAGCTGTACAGTGCCTTCTGTGCCAGCCACACTAAAGTCCCCAAAGTCCTGGTGAAAGGTAAGAGCCCCTTCAGAGTTGCTGTGGGAAGTGGATTTGTAGAGAATTCTCAGAGTTTGACAGAAGGCTCACATAGTATGTATCTCTATGTAAACTTTGAGATAGAAATGCTGACTTAGAATAATGAATGATTATTAGAAATGAAATTTCTCATTTCATGACTTAGAAGAATGAAAGATTATTAGAAATGCTGACTTAGAATAATGAAAGATTATTTCTTATTAAATAAGAAAAATGCCTTGGAATTAAATAAGAAAAATGCCGAGGACAGACATTGCTGAGAAAGAATTGGAGCTAGAAACAAGTTTTAAAGGATGACTTTGTAAATAACACTGGATACCTGAGAGAAATAGAACTATGAAAGATGCATTGTAATAAGATTCACAAGGGGTAATTTCAGATGATTGGTTTTAAGGCACTTACAGCATGGTGTGACAAAAGCTGACAGGCCAAGAAACATTTACAGTGTATTGGAATTAGGAAATAGCTGGCTGCTGATTGTGATGGGTGAATTGTAACATCTGTATTGTCTCACCCTTTGCATGAGACTGAACATGGGATCAAAGTTTTTAAAATGCCTCTCAGTTAACTTATTTCTGGTCAGAAAAGTGCATAATCCAACAAGGTGTCCCACCCACATGCTGGTTGTGGTCATGCTGGTTGCACCCCAAAGCTCTGAGGGCAGGAATGGGGGCACGCTAGGGGAGGATCAGCCTGGGAGAATGTTTTATGGAAGCTGGTGAAATATTTTAGCCCTGTCTTCCCTCTGTCCTTCCTCTTGCCCTCACTGCAGTTTGCCTGAGGAGTTGCCATGGCAGTTCCTGGCACAGCTTGGCTTGCTGGCTGGGAGAGAGCAGCCCTGTGGTCTGGCTGCTGGGCCAGCTTGCCCCACAGGGATGTTTTCCCCTGTGGAAGTGGAAATCTGATGGAGCTACCAGTGCTTCGTGCAATTCCTTTGTGGCCAAGACATTAAACAAACAAATGGTTCCAGTTGTAGCAATGCCATTGAGGGAGGAACTCTGTTTTTTCAAACATCATCTGCATGTTAAATATCAAAAATTTTGAGGTTTTTTGTTTCTTGGTTGGTTTGGGGTTTGGATTTTTTTCCTGTGCACTTTTTCTTTTTTCATTTCTGCTTATAAACTTTTATTCCCTGTGCTGCAAAGAGTACTTGGCAGCTCTGTGGAATACATAAATAAATGATTTGTTGCTAGTCACATCCATGCTTTCTTTTGGCTGTATTTTATAGGACCCTAATGTTAAAGCTGTAGACTAGGTAGATCTGGTTCTTTTGCTTTTCTTTTCCATTGCTGACTGTATTTATAAATGAGAAAGTGTTGTGCTTGAATTATGGCATAAACAGAACTTAAAATTCTATTCCAGAGGTAAATCTCCTCAACAGCCTAGGAGTGTATTGCAGGTGTCACTTGGTGTCCTCAGCTGAGGGGCAGGTGGCTTTTGCACTTGAAACTCAAGTTGCTTTATGGAAATCAGGTGACTGCCTGCAAAAACCTCCCAACCCCAGCAGGGGACATGACTCCAATAAAAGCCATTGTGTGGAATTGCTCCTGCACTGAATAATTTGTATGTCTATAAATACCACCTCCTCCTTCCTTCCCTCCTTATGCTCCAGTGGAGGGAGCAACAGAGAAAATGGCAATTTTATAAATTCATAGCAGTCAGGTAGAAAGGATTATGGCAGTCAGGTGTCCAGTCTGCCTGTGCTCTCAAAATCTGGAGCATTAGCCTCAGTTTCTGCTCCTGCCTCTCCCCAGCTCCTGCTGCTTCTTGTGACTCAGTGCTGCATTTTAAGGTTTAATGAGGTAACAAGAACCAGACTTGCCAATATTGTGGGTGCACTGTGGCTTGGAAGCAGTGACTTCTCACAAATTTCCAATGTGAGACTTTGCTAAAAGGGAGCAGATGATCAGAACATTTAAAATAGCTGCCAGGTCAGAGGTCCTTACTGATCCTCCTGAGAGGCAGCTCTGGGCTCTGCTCCCTGTGACCAGGGACAGCACCCAGGGAAGGGCTGCAGCTGTGCCAGGGCAGCTTTAGGCTGGATTTTAGGGCAAGGTTCATCCCCAGAGGATGGACACGGCCCCACAGAGCCCCAGGAGCATTTGGAGAGCTCTCCAGGGATGCCCAGGGTGGGATTGTTGGGGGTCTGTGCAGGGCCAGGGGTGGGACTGGATGATCCCTGTGTGTCCTTCCAGCTCAGGAGATTCTATCATGGATAGTGCCATTAAAAATTGCCCTGCTGGAGGTGGATGCCTGCTGTGAAATCCTAAATAGCACATCCGGGGAGAGTGGCAGTGACTCAAATCCTGCAGGGCGTAAATCTAATTCTGCAGGCCCAATAAATCTGCGCTTCCTCACAGAATGCCTCCGGATAAACCAATTTAAACCTGGGAAAGTTGCTTTCTCATGATTTTTCATTGATCCCATGCCTCCTTTGAACCTGGCAGCCAAGACAGACACTGCTTTCAAGGCGTTCCTGGATGCCCAGAACCCGCGCCGGCAGCACTCCTCCACCCTGGAGTCTTACCTCATCAAACCCATCCAGAGGATACTCAAATACCCCCTCCTGCTCAAGGAGCTCTTTGCTCTCACTGACGTGGACAGTGAAGAGCATTATCACCTTGATGGTAAGCACTTAACCCCACTTTTGTGTGGTTCCCCCCTGCTCTTGAACCTCCCCCCATCCCTTCCTCTCGGAGGGTTAAAAATCCCTTCTGCTCATCCCCTGTCTCTTGCAGTGGCCATCAAAACCATGAACAAAGTTGCCAGCCACATTAATGAAATGCAGAAAATCCATGAAGAGTATGGGGCAGTGTTTGACCAACTCATAGCGGAGCAAACAGGGGAGAAGAAAGAGGTAACAATCAGATTTAGAGTGATTTTGGTGCCTGTTAAACTGGATCCAGTATTTACCTTACCTGTTGTGCCACTGAAGCTCAGTTGAAGAGCTGAAGTGAATTCAGGCTTCACTGAGGGGAGGGTGAGGGATGGGATAACGTCCCCCCGAACTGGGGCTGGCCCTCAGTTGGGCACTGTGGGCACCATAAGGACAAAGGTGTGGTTGCTGCACCTCCCAGCAGCTGGGAACTCCTTTCTTAGTGTGTTCCCAGCAGTGTGGTGTCACAGAGGAACCCTTGGGCAAGGTCAAGAGCCACAGCAGCTGTGGGGAGGGGCTGCCTTTGGCCACTGCCCCTGATGCAGCCACTAAACCTCACCCCAAACTGAGTATGTGCTTAAATATTCCAACAAAACGCAAAGAAACTGCTAGGGAGAAAAATGGACAAAGGGGAACAAAAAGCAAAGAAAACATCTGGGTTTGACCTTGACTTCCAAGAGCTGGACTCTTGAGTTTAACTGACCCTAATTTATGCTCATTAATTAAGAGTTTACATGCATCTGTTTGCAGTCAGCTGATGAAATACCCCAAAGTTTGCTGGGGGCAGTTTTGCTCAGGACTAGACCTGATGCAAGTTCCCTTGAGCTGCAGACTGCCATCACATTCCTGGAGCTGATTCAAAGCCTTGCCTTTGTGCCTGTGTTGGCAGGTGGCCGACCTTTCCATGGGGGACTTGCTCTTGCATAACACAGTGATATGGCTGAACCCTCCTGCTTCCCTGGGCAAGTGGAAGAAGGAACCTGAGCTGGCAGCGTTCGGTTTGTATCCAGGACTTGCATTTCACACGCCTTAAACAGTGGCACAATTCACATTAAACACTGGCAGCTGTGCCTCAGCAGATGTTGAAAGTGTCTGAGCACTGCCTTCCCCAGGGCTGCCTGGAATTTAAACCTGGCCTTGTCTCTTGGCTGCAGGCCTCAGTTTTCCTCTCTGGTAGTTTTCCTGGCTCAGCTGGGAGGTTTGTGTGCTGGGGAATAGAGGAGAGCCATCCCAAGCCTTATGGATGCTCTTGAGGACAGGCTGGGGGAGCTGCACCTGGTCACTCTTAGCAAGGAAAGGCTGAGAGGGAATCCTTCAATCCACAAAAATACCCCATCAATGCACACAGATACCCCATCAATCCTCACAAATACCCCATCAATGCACACAGATACCCCACCAACCCACACAAATATCCCCAAGGCTGTCACAGGATGGTGCCACACTCTGCTCAGTACTGCCAGTGACAGGGTGAGGAGCAGTGGCCATCAACTGAAACACAACGAGTTCCACCTCAGCCTGAGGGAGAACTCGTGTCCATGGAGGGGGCAGAGCCCTGGAACAGCTGCCCAGGGAGGGAGGGCCTGCAGTCTCCATCTCTGGGGACACCCCAAAACTCCCAAATTCCTGTGTCACCTGCTCTGGGTGACACTACCTTGGTAGGGGGGTTGGACTGGGTGATCTCCAGAGGTCCCTTCCAACCCCAGCTGTCCTGGAATTCTGGGATTCTGTGACTCCATAACTTTCGTCTCTCACTTTCTCCTCCAGTGTTCAAAACTGCTGTGGTCCTTGTGTACAAGGATGGTTCCAAACAGAAGAAGAAACTGGTGAGTGTGCAGGGACTGTTTGGGTGGGCCGTGGGTATTTCTGGGGCTGTGATGGAGTTTTGCTTCCCACAAGCCGTGGAGCTGGAGTGTGCACTGGCATGCGTGGTCCCTGCTGTCTGAGGAGCTGGGTGGGCACAGCAAGCATTCCTTTATCCTTTGCTTGTGGGACTGTCCTGGATGAAGATGTCAGTGTGAGTGTGTCTCTTGGCTTGGATTCCTTGGTCAGTGTGAGTGTCTGAGAGCTGATTAATGTCTGTCACCTCACCCAGTGCCCTGGGTGTTGTGTGCCACCAGGCAAGTGCTGGCTGCTCTCAGCTCCATCAGGAGTGGCTCAGGGATCCCACTGGAGTTTGGGGTTCCAAGTTAAAGCTGAGCTTGGCAGTGCTACCACAGGGGCACAGTCTGTAGTGATACAGGGAAACTGGTGCTCCCTACTTGTGGCATAAAGCAGAGAGGAGTTGGAGGTGGGGAAAGGCAGCTGGCACGGGGTGACTTCAGAGAGAAAAGCCAAACTCTGATGTATTCCTGAATGTGTGTGCACCCAGGGCTGGGCTGGATGACTCTGGAGGGCATTGCTGAGAGCTGAGGGGCCTTAGGGCTGCTTTAGTCCAGACTCCAGCAAGGTCCCCACAGAGAGGCCCCGAGGGAGGTGTGGGCTGGGAAAACCAGGACTGCAGCAGCTCTGGAGCTGGGAGCCCTCAGCACAGGGCACAGCACTGTCTGCCTGCCCCAGGGTGTCTCCTCTCCTGACAGTGCTTGAAATTCTTCCAGGGAGGATCCCACAGAGCCTCAATCTATGAAGACTGGGATCCGTTCCGGTTCCGCCACATGATCCCTTTGGAAGCACTGCAGGTGCGGGCCCTGGCCAGTGCAGGTAATGTCCCTGGAGTTAAAACCTGCCATCTGCCAGGCTTGCAGTGTGTGTGTGTGTGTGTGCCCTGGGCACCCTCCCTGGGCATGCAGCAAATGCTTTGCACTTACATGTCAAGGTAGACATGAATTTCTCTTTGCTTTCCCTGTAGATGCAGAGACCAATTCTGTGTGTGAGATTGTCCACGTCAAATCTGAGTCTGAGGGCAGGCCAGAAAGGACGTTTCACCTCTGCTGTAGGTAAGTGGGGCTCCCTGTTTTCTGTTTGCCTTCACAGCTGCATCTCTGCATCCCTGCTTGCCTGTGCCTTTCCTTTCGAGGCAATCTGGGAACTGTTAAACTGGATCCAGTATTTGCCTTTCCTGCTGTGCCCCTGAAGTAAAGCCTGCTGCAAACAGATAAATCCCAGCTCAACTGAAGAGCTGAAGTTAATTGAATTCAGACTTCACTGAGGGGAGGGAGAAGGGATGGGATAACATCCCCCTGAACTGGGACTGGCCCTCAGTTTGTCACTCTGAGCACCCTAAGGACAAAGGTGCGGTTCCTGCACCTCCAGCAGTTGGGAACTCCTTTCTTAGTTAGGGAGAGTGTGGAGAGGGTGTTCAAACCTAACTTCTGGAAGGCAGAATTTTGTACAACCTCTGAAAAGAACTTGATCAGCTTTGCACCCTTATGGGAAAGGCCTTATTGCAGTTTTCCAGTTAAACTGCAGCGCTGGGTCTTTATGGCAGGTGTTGTGTTCAGCTGGTTCCTTTCATGGCACCAGGTCCCAGTCTCTGCATTAAATGAACATCCATTGCTGTGGTGGTGGTGGTTTTAGGGTTCAAGGAAGAACTTGGAACTCATGAGGATCCAACAGAGCTGTTGCCAAGCCAGTTGCTACTCCTAGGAGGAGTTGCAGGAGCTGTGGATGTGTTTGCAGGGACAGATGGACTGAGCACCACTGGATGTGTGCTGGACACAGCCACGTGTGGGTGGCACTGCAGGGAAAGGAAACCTTGAGAGGGCTGAAAGGCTGAATGTTTTATTAATGACCTGGGTGCTGGTTTCCTTGGATGCCCCCTGCAGTCACCATGGGTTTAGCTTTGCTTTGAAAAGACTGAGTTCAGGGCAGTGTTCTCTGGGGAAGCGCCTGCCAGTCCATTTGCACTGTCTTAAATCACAGAAGTGGCCATTATTTACCTCATTTACAGACGGCTTTTAGCAGTTCCCAAGGGGTAACTCTGCCTTTTGTATTCCCACCTCTTTTTCAGCTCTCCAGAGCACAGGAAGGACTTCCTGAAGGCGGTGCACTCCATCCTGCGGGACAAACACAGAAGACAGCTCCTTAAAACCGAAAGTTTGCCCTCCTCCCAGCAATATGTTCCCTTTGGTGGAAAAAGATTGTGTGCTCTAAAAGGTGCAAGGCCAGCCATGAACAGGGCAGGTACTGTAGGGCTACAGACTTTCAAGATCCCAGTAACCCCAGCAGCATTGTAGGACACACAGCGGTGTCTGTCACATGTATATTAGGATTAGCATTCTCTCCTGTGTATGTAAACACTGCTGGTTTTCCATGCTTCACTTCCTTGAGAGCCTTAAATTGCCTCTATTTCCCTTGCTTTGCACTCGAGGCTCAGCTTCAGAGCAGTGCCTCTGGCCTGGAACGGAGATGGGATTCCTGGCAGTACCCATTGGCTGTGCACTTTACTCCCAGCTGGGGTTCAGCTGGACAGAGCAGCAGCTGTGTGATCCTTAAAAGCACGTACAGAATTTTGGGGTAACCTGAGCACTTTGGAACTAAAATGCGCAAGGAAAAACAGCTCCCCTGAGCTTGGTTTGAGGGGACAGCTGTGGGTGTCCTCCACCTGAGCCTTTCCAGCTCAACTGCTAAAGGGACATCCTCCTCCTTCCCACATTTGGAGAAGTTAGCACTTGGCATTCCTATTTTTGTAATGGCCTCTCCTAAACCATGGATTTTCCTTTGCAGTTGACTTCAGGGAAAAGCAGGTTTTCATTTTCAGAACTCTAGATACTGGAGGGAAGAGGTATTTTCTTCCAACCCCAAAGTACACGGCACAGCTGCATGTTTTGTTCTGGTCTGTTGTGTATTTCTTGTTCTGCTCAGTAGATCCAGCCCTGTAGACAGCCAGGCTTTCTGTGCCTCCTCTGACCAGGGCAGGCCAGGCCAGCACCAGCTGGGCCCAGCTTCTCACTCAGTGCGGCTGGACATGCCAGACCTCCTTTCAGATTGGCTTTGTGCGGCATTTGTGTGATTGAGTTCTGCAGGGATTGAAATCCCACCTTGGAGTCCAGACCTCTTCCTACAGATGAAGTTTGCAGCTGCTGAGCCACTGTAATTAATGCACCTTGTGGTGCTCAGGGATGTTAAAGTGTGACCTGAACCCCAAGGCAGATAAATTCATCCTGCAGTGCTGAGGTGCTGTTCAGTGCAGGGGAACAAACTCCAACCTCAGAGCTCTGTGTGTGCCCCTGAAGCACCATGGTGCCTGCAGGATTTACCCCTGCTTGGGAAGACGTTCTGGCACAGAGGATGGGAAATTGCTAATTGGGCCAGTTGCTGAGTAGATGGAACTTCTGACAGCTCTTCTGGGTTGGGAGATTGGTTTTGTCCTCACCCAGAAGGGAGGAAGTAAGGAAGGGAGCAGCAGAACCTGGACAGGGAACGTAATTCCCTGCAGCATCTTCAGCACTGAGGTATCTCCTGGGAGAGCTGTAGGAAAGCTGCTCTGAGCCCAGATGTCCCTCTGCAAGGTGTGAAGGTGTTGGATTTTGGGGTGTGCTGGCAGCAGGGGCTGTGAGTGAGAAGCTGAGCTGAGCAGATGCCCTTGGTGCTGGCTGGCTGCCCTGTGCTCAGGAGGAGCATTGAGGGCCATGATCTGTGACAGGGTGGGTCCAGAGGCTGCGATTTGTGACATGATGGATCCAGAGGCTGTGATCTGTGACATGGTAGATCCAGAGGCCGTGATTTGTGGCACAGTGATTCAAGAGGCCACGATTTGTGACATTGGTGGATCCAGAGGCCATGATTTGTGACATTGGTGGATCCAGAGGCCGTGATCTGTGGCACAGGGGATCCGGAGGCTGTGATATGTGTCACAGCAGATCCAGAGGCTGTGATCTGTGGCACAGCGGATCCAGAGGCTGTGATCTGTGGCACAGCGGATCCAGAGGCTGTGATCTGTGGCACGGTGGATGTGAGCAGCAGGAACTCCTCCTGCGGCCACAGAGGCCTCATGGCGAGGAGGTGAGGATCCATGGCCACAGGGAGATGGGAGTGACGGGCCCTGCCCACCCCAGACAGGACTTAGCTTTAGCGCAGAGTTGTGCCGTGTGTAAAACACCTGTGGGGTTTTATCTTTGTGTGTGCAGTGTCAGCCCCCAGCAAGTCTCTGGGGAGGAGGAGGCGGCGGCTGGCCCGAAACAGGTTTACCATTGACTCGGAGGCCCTCCACGGCAGCAGCCCCGAGAAAGAGCCCGCGCAGGGAGGGGACACTGACCGCTGGGTCGAGGAGCAGTTCGACCTGGCGCAGTACGAGGAGCAGGAGGACATCAAGGAGACCGACATCCTGAGCGACGACGACGACTTCTGCGAG